TAATACAACAGGTGTGAGCTAATCCTGGTCCAATAACATTTAAACATTTATTACAAACTTTAACTGGTCAAGGAAAGGGTAAAACTTTCATATTGAGTTTTGGTCTTCTTCCTTTTTTTATATTTGATCCACGTAATAAGTTACTCCTAGCAGTAAGGCAAATATTACATTAGCAAAACTGTTTCTTGTAAGAATAGTCCCTCTGATCTAAGAAAAATCAAATGTTTTACATAAAACTCTATTGGTGTTAGTTTTTTCTATTTTTACTAAATTAGTTCAACATCTTCGACAAATTTCATTTAGAAAACGGTTATCATTTAAATTAATGTTGTCAATGAAATATTTTTTAATTCTCAATAAAATTTGGGGAAAGGCGCCTATGATGACATTGCGCCTTTGATGGCATTACCGGTCACATAAATATTGGTTATGGCGAAAAAGTGATTAAACCAACATGTCTATACTGACTTTATATTAGCTTTAGTAAAAATACGTCCCTTAAGCACAAATTTTGCTTTTATAATCAAGAAAAATTGATTTTTCTTGATTATAAAATTGATATGAAATACACATAAACAAAAATGAAGACTAGAAAGCTGCAATGATGTTTAGATATAAGAAAGTGTACCTTTCCAGTATCATTTTCACTTGGTTTTTTGTATCCAAACCAAAAATTTTGCGAACATTTCTAAAAATAAATTTGTTGTCATTATGTGTATTTTTATAATTGCTTTATTAATGACAAACAACAGTTAACAAGGAAATAACATATTTAACATAAAAGTTGAAGAGCCAATCCTTTGTATAAACAATTTCATCATTCAACTAAATAAAAACAACAAAATTATTCAAATCATTTAAAAATATATAAAAAAAAATTGCAAGCCTACTGAATGCTTCTTTTTTTCTATCGTTTGTTTCACTGGCATTTGAACAAGTAAATATAGAGAGAAATATGTATGTATGTATATATATATACTATAATATATATATGCATTTATATTATGTATATTTTACATAATATATTATATTTTTGTATAAATTATTAAATAAACCCGCTTACCGAAAAAAGTTAATTTTTAATTAAATTTCCTATGCAAAAACGTTTCACATAAAAGTTATATAAAAGTATTTTGTGAACAAAAAAAGGACCAATCAGAACGTAACAAAGATATCGTAATTACGATACTGTGGGTTAAAACTCATTTTTGTTAGGTTCTATTGGCAATAATTATTTTTAATTTTCTTAAGTAAATAATGACTCCTTATTAACAACCAATTGACGTCTTTTCGACCTCTTAGTAAAAAGTAATTTTTACTTTACTAAAAAATTTATGATTCAAAAAACACATAAAACGCATTATCTCTTATGTGTATGCGCGAATTATGACACCTGCTGTGTAGCACGAATGGGTTAGTTAGGATGATTACGCATAGTTTCTAGTATTTCTGAGGAAAGACTCTTAGGTCAAATGAAATTGTCAAGTTACCCTTGATGCTAACAAACCCCATCCTCTCCCATGCCATCATGGGAGCAATAGTTGCCTATGATGGCATACTTGTGCTTTTTTTTAAAATAAAAATAAGTAATAAAAAAATAAAACAGATGAAAATTCCTAATGTTATTATTGTTCTACATGTAATAAAGAATGTATCCATATCAAAACGTTTGTTCTTGGTCTTCAAGCGTACATTGTTCAGGACTGAACAATGTACGCTTCAAAGAAATGCTTCAATGAAATGCTTCAAAGTTAAGTATGCCCTTTCCCCTACACTTCCTACTTGTATTTTACTTTTTCTTTTTTTTCCTTTTTCAAAGCAAATTTTTTTTTTTCAAATTTTTTCCTTTTTCAAAGCAAATTAAACAAACTTTACTTTGAATGTGACTTATTCTTGAATTTCAACTTCAAAGATGAAGTAATTAATAATATTTAAACTTTCAAAGCACAAACGCAACACGTAACAAAACACAAATTACAATAATATACAAAATTAAAAAACTCGTTAAAACTAAAAGTGGTTTTTAATTAACCAATTTCAAATATTTTAGTTATAAAGAATGATTTTGAGGCTTATTTAAATTGATGAGTTACAAATTAAAACAGTAGTTTGTAAAAGTAAAACATGTAAGATTTCATAAACAAGTTTTGGTAAAACTTACAGAAGAATATTTAAAAAATCCCTTTATATAATTATCCACAAAGGAGCGAACAAGCCTCTGAATTTTTCATTATAATTTTACCCAGCTTTGGGAAAATGGTTTACTAGGTTTTGAAAAATTATTCGAAAAGATTGCATAAAACTATTGTTACATATAATTCTAGTCATACTTTGTTTTCTAAAAGTCTTACTGATTAACTATATATATAGTTTATTGTGAGAAGTTAGTTTGTAAAATATGAAACAGTTATTATTAACTTATTATGTCAAATATTAAAAACCATTAAAAACCGCAACAAAAAAACTAAACTTTTCTTTTTTTTTGTGTCCCAGTGATCGGACCCAATCATATTAAAACTCTAAGAACACGCCTCTAACGTAACGCCCTTAAAACGTTTATGAATTTTTTAGTTCTATTCTTTTCATATTTATTAGAATCAAAATTTATCGATAAATTTTAAATATCATTTCAAAAAAAATATGCCGTTTAAAAGTTGTGACCTTTTAAAGTTATTTTTTGCTGTTAATTAGGGAATAAAAAAACTAAAAACATTAATAACTTTTTAACGAGAAGAGATTTTTGTTTGAAATTTTAAATATGTTAATTAATTTTAACCTAATTAAATTTTTTTTTTTCTATTGAAACCAAACATGGGACACAATGACCTAAATTTTAAGTTTAACATTGTTTCCAGTCTCCGATCGTGGCAATTTGTTTCTAAAACATTCTTATTTTGCATTAGTATGTTTATTACACAATTTTATGAAAGCACCATTTCTGGAAGGTATCTATCTTAAACAATAAATGGTGCTTTCATAAAACTTTGGGCCAGCTTGTTTAACCCCCTTTTAATTTTTTTAGATATTGACGAAATATTTTCAAAATCTAGGTCATAACAAAACAAGGTATGGTGGTTTCGAAAATGTAATCCGTTTCTGATGTAGTTTTTTTTTCGTAAGATATATTTTTACTAGGATGCAATATTGCAATTATGCAATTATGCAATTATAAAATTGCAATATTGAGATATTGAAATTAGCAGTGACATGTTTGCTTAATTTTTACCTTTTAGTTTCTATTCAATGTTTTAAACGTTTTATAATTTTTAAATATTATGCACTTATATGACTACATAGGGTGTACCCTAGTTACCAAACCCTATGTAAATTGGTAACCCTAGTTACCAACCTTTGCGTGGCATGTTGCTGATTGCTCTGTGGTGTAAATTGCATTGAGTTCAAGTGGTCATCAAATCAAAGTCTTACTTTCAAAAAATATTTAATCGCTAGATGTTCGGTCAATATAAAAACGTCATAAAACCATTAAAACATAATTGGCCATGAAAATCTAAATGCTAACTACCCCATTAATGGCGGTTGTTATATTAAATTAATGCTTTTAACTTAATATAATAACCGCCCCGTTAAATGCACTTTTTAGAAGACGTTCATCGATTAAACTGTTTTACACTCCCGGTGTTTTGTTTTACACTCCCGGTTTGAACTAAAACTATTGTTTTACACTCCCGGGTTTATTTTATTTGGTATTCCTGCATGTTTAAAGTAGTTTTCATTAGTTTTGGATTTTTTATCATGAACTTATCCATCGATTAGTCAAACTTTTAGTTATTTAAAATTTTCTTAATTTGAAGTGATGTTTTGTTACCTTTAACAAAAAACCAGTCAGTTATTCGAGTTTTTTGAAACTATTGCTTAAAAACGCCGACAATAATAGCAAATTGTGATTTTGCTTACTCAAGAGATCTTTTTTATAATTTAGAAACTTGTAGAATATTTATCACCATACATATATTTGTTATTTATATTCTTTATATTTATTTATAATTGTATCCTTTATCTTCTCCGAGTTAATTTTAATAGACCAGGAATTTTTATATTTTTGTTGTCTCCCAAGTTTAGAGTCTTTTCTCTAATTTTAACATGACAGATAGTGTTAGACAAGTATAAATTATAAAGATTATCCTTTCAAATTACTTAAGGAGAGCGTCCATGAGCTTAGATCACTCGGATTAGTTAATGAAGATCATTTTTTGACAATTACGTAATCACAAATTGAGAAACTGTGAATTCCAGTTTAGTTAACAATTTTGCTTTGTAAGAAAAGCAGGCGAGGAGTAAAACAAAATTCCTCTAAAAAAGTAGAAATTATTAGCGATTGCAGGTGCAATAGAATTATTCAATCATTGTACCAATGGGCATACAACGTTGTAAGGATATCCATCCTTAGGACGTTTATATGGCATGGCTCTGCAAAAACAAAGCTTTCATCAGGCTTCATATCAAAATGGTTTGATAAACACTCTTTAGATACAAAAAACAACTTTAAATGCAAAAATTTAACAATTTTATAAGTTGAAAACAGCATCTTATTCCAAATATCTAATTTTATTTATATCCTAGTTTTGTGAAAAATTATTGTTTTTTGAAATATCTAAACTTTTTTTAATTGAGGGTAAATTATTATTCCGCGTGCGGAAGTTCAAATAACCTTACATAAAATAATCTAACAATGCTTGCATTGGCTGGTGATCAGAGGTGATCTGAATCTAACAATAAAACACCGTATAAATCATCAATCTTAAATCACTTAAAGCTATCTAAATTTTTTTATTAATAAATCAACAAATATAAACTTTAAAAATATAAATTATATAACAATTTGAAAAAATATAATTCTCCTCATCCAGGTAATTTTGTCATGCAAAATCACGGAGGAGTTTCGTGGTTTTAGTTGTCTGATTTTTGACGTATATTAGAAATAATGTTAAACGGATAAATTGTCAAATAAAAAAAAAGCCAGCTCTGAAGTTTGACAATATAACTACCGTTTTAAAAACAATAGCATTAAATCCCATATTATTTAAAGAATTAATTAAAAAATGATTTACTCATAAACAGAAACCATTTAAGTATTTTAGAATAATTTGACTAAAATACTACCGAGCAGAAATTATTGTTGAAAAATATAAATGTTTAACAAAACAATAAAATAAAGTATTTGGATGTGCGTAAGTACTACATTTTTTAGTCGTCGTGTGTTATCTGGGTTTATTCTTGTTTTATAAATTTTTTAAAACGAGTTTATTTTATTTTATGAGACTATCTTTATTTACTTTAATTCGCATACCTTTTATTTTACAAGTTGTGACAAATTTATTTGATATCTTTTTATTTAATTTCAACTTTCATTTATGTTGAACACTTTGAAAGTCAGAATTGTAAAGCTATTATCTCGTTTATGTAAAATTATTCCCATAAGTGTTTATTTTATAACTCGCACTCATTGCTTTTTATAAGCAATCTGTTTTCTTTCGAGTAACAGGATTACTAAATGTTAAAAAACATTAAATAGAACATACAGAAACAAACATTAAATACAACATTTATCTATAAGTAAATAATTTATAACACTAATGGAAGAAATTTTAAACTAAAAATATTTTTCTTTTAATTTGGACGCAAAATCAGATCATTAAAATGTTTAAACTATTTTCGAAAAATTTTCTATAATTTTTTTTTTAAATTGTTTTAAACAAGTTAAATATTATATAAAATATCTTTAAATAGACAGAAATAATTGAAATATTGTTGTTTTTTTAAACTATTACATAATGCTTCCGGCAAATTATTATTAATTCATTTTATGAAGCATTATCAAAAATTTCAACTGGATTGATCTTTGTTGTTTATGTATTATTTATTATATATATATATATATATATATATATATATATATATATATATATATATATATATATATATATATATATATATATAATATATATATATATATATATATATATATATATATATATATATATATATATATATATATATATATGTATATATATATATATATATATATATATATATATATATATATATATATATATATATATATATATATATATATATATATATATATTTAGCAAACAGTTGGTATTCATCAACATAGTGATGTCAACAAAGACTTCTCCAGGACTAAGAACTATGGTCTTATTGTAAAGTTCATATACACACTTTGTATGAGTTTAAAATTCTACTGAAAATTATAAAACAACTTCATTACTGAAAGTCATGAGAAAATTTTTTTGAGACTTTCAGGTTTAAGTCTGATTTTTTTGAAAGGTTTAAGACTGGTTTTTTTTAAAACTTTAAAAGTTTATAATTTCAAGCTGAAGAAGTTACTTTATCAATAAGAGTTATATAGGAAAGTATAACCGCTAAAATAATACTGTAGATTAAAGTCCTTGGATTGTCTTGTTAACATCTCTGCAAATATATAATATTTTTGTAGCTATATCCATATAATATCTTTGTAGGTATATAAGTTAAATTTCTATTCATTTATTTTATTGAATTTTATTTAGGAAATCATCCGTATATTCGAATGAGTAAAAATTTTGGAATTCGAGGGATAAAACATTTTGTTTGATGTAAAACACTTTCAAATACTAAAAAATTAAAAATGCATTGCTCAAGGTTTTATTTAAAAAATATAGCATATATGTTTTTGCTATTGCTAATAATCGGAATCTTTACTTTTGTTGTTCAATTTAACAAAGAATTAAAAGAAAGACTTAATTATGACGACATAGCATCAATTAATATTTCTGAATTTATGAGTCAACAATTTCTTAAAAAAGAAACTGAAAAACCTTTCACGCTATCTTCAGACAACTATGAGCTTTTATTAAAAGAAAGCGCAGCAAGAGAAGCTCAAGCTCTTTCTCATATTAATTTTGATACAGTTGAAAAAGATGGAAAAGCTTTGCACACTGTAGTTATTTTAATATCATCTTTTGTTGATCATAAATATCGAAGAGATAAAATACGAGAGTCATGGGGAAATCCCAAAATGTGGGTTACAAAAGACAAGTTTATGATCGTTTTTGTAACGGGAAAAGTTAAGCATGCAAAATCAATGATAGAATTAGCGGAAGAAGCTAAAGTATCAAAAGATATTATGTCTCTAGATATTCCTGAAGATTTTTATTTGTTAGCTAAAAAAGTTATAATTGGCTTTGTATGGGCAAAAAATAACTTGAAATTTAAAGCTATCTTGAAAGGTGACGACGACACTTTTATTAACATTGATAATGCAGTTAATTTTATAAATCAGAATAAAGAAACTTATGGGTATTTTGGACAAAGTATGGCTGGGCAACCAGTAGAAAGGTATGGTCGGTACAAGTTGACAAAAGAAGAACACGAGAAAGACCACTATGATCCTTACTGCTCAGGAGGAGGATTTATTTTTACAAATGCTAGTATTTACAAAATTCTTCCATTGTTTGATTTAGAAAAAATATTGCGAATTGACGATGCACATATTGGTGAGGTAGCATTTAAAGCAGGTATGCACTTTGTATTTAACCAGTACTCTTTATAAGTAACCTTAAGTAATTTTCAAATACAGGGTCCAAACAGAATCCCAAAACTTCTGTTTTTTATATTATAAGAAGTTAAGTTAAAACTTTGGACACATTTTATAAAATTTTACTTTGTTTCTTCTAAAAAATTGGTAACCTTAAATTCTACGCAAAACGTTTTAGTATTAATAGAGTCAATTGGGGCCACAAACTTGTAGCGTCTGCATTGGTAAATAATATTTTTTAATAGATAAACAAAGCACAATCAGAACTGTTTATTTTATATGTATATATATGTATATATATATATATATATATATATATATATATATATATATATATATATATATATATATATATATATATATATATATATATATATATATATATATATATATTATATATATATATATATATATATATATATATATATATATATATATATATATATATATATATATATATATATATATATATACATGTATTACATGTTTGTTTTTTAAATAAAAAATGCAAATATGGCACCCATGTATGTAAATTGCATTCTACCCGTCTTATGGGTAAAAGGAAAAAAGCCCCTAATAAATTTACTGGCGGGTTTAATTTCGCTGTAATGATTCCCTGGAAAATCTGACGTAAAAACTAGGATGGTAGAAAATAAACAAATGATGGTAAAAAATAAACAAATGCATATTTGTCGTTAAAGAGAATACAAAAATACATTGTATTTTTGTATTCTCTTTAACTAATTTGAAAACTATTTTGTGGCCTATCTTTTAATTTTTTTTTATCTTTTGTTTATAACAAAATATTATAATATTTTGTTGCATTAATAAGTTAGTGAGACAAAAGCGAGACAAAAAGTTAGTTATACTCAAAGTTAGTTATACCCTATAGAGTACAGTCTGTTACGTAGTTAACATACTGTTATATATGGACTTATGGCTATAATTAAACGTTTAAAACACAAATTAAACGTTTTAAACACAAATTTAACGTTTAAAACACGAGAAGTAAATGCGTTTTTTTATTATTAGGTGTTGTTGCCAAAATGACAGATGGGTTTTACATGTGGAATAGATGGTGCGAGTATCGTAAAGACGTCATTGTATCACATCCGGCTAAAGAACCAGAATGTACAGACTTTTTATTAAAGAGATCAATGATTGACAATGGAAAACTCCCTCGAGATCCTATAATTGAGAAAGAAAAATACTATAAAGATGCTTCTTTGTTATCTTGAAAGAATGATAATTTATAAACTTATCTTTTCAGCATTTATTTAACTGTAGGAATATTTAAATAATACAATTTCATCACAATAATTTAAACAATTTTTAAAGACTTTTTTATCTTTAAAAGAAAAGTTTTTATCAAAAAAAAAAATTAAATATATACTTGGTTATATTGTATGATTCCATAGCTTTGTATGCGTTGTATGATTCCAAAACCTTGATGCAATATATATATATATATATATATATATATATATATATATATATATATATATATATATATATAAACATATATATATATATATACATATATATATATATATATATATATATATATATATATATATATATATATATATATATATATATATATATATATATATATATATATATATATATATATATATATATATATATATATATATATATATATATATATATATATATATATATATATATATATATATATATATATATATATATATATATATATATATATATATATAGTGATTGCTATACAATAGGGGTTTTTATTGATCTATCCAAAGCTTTTGACACAGTAAATCATGAAACTCTTTTGAAAAAATTAGAAAACTATGGTGTTAAAAATCAAAGTTTACTTTGGTTTAAATCATACTTAACTAACAGAAAGCAATTTATACTTAAAATCAAAAAACTCAAAAAACAACTTAATAACTTGTAGAGTACCCTAAGGCTCTATTTCGGGACCATTATTGTTCTTACTTTATATAAATGACTTATATTTATTATCAAAAGTATTAAATAATATCTTATTTGCAGATGACTTTAGTTTCTTATACACTCACAAAGATATTACTGTTTTTTTTTTAATATTTAACGAAGAATTAGATAAGATCAACGAGTGGTTTTAAAGTAACCGACTATTATTAAATGTAGAGAAAACAAAATTGATCCTATTCCATAAACCTAGTAAAGCCTAGAATATTCCTCTTAAACTACCCAATCTTTTAATCAATAATAAAATAATTAAAAGGGAATTGACTACAAACTTTCTGGGAGTGCTCTTAGATGAAAAACTGTCATTGAAATTTCATATTAAATATATTGAAGGTAAGATCTCAAAAAATATTGCCATGTTATATCGAACCAAGCCTTTTCTTAATAACGAGTCTTTAAAAAATTTATATTTTTCGTTTATACACAGCTATCTTTCATTCTGTAACATTTCCTGGGGTAGTACTAATCACACTAAACTCAAAAATATTTATAGTCAACAAAAACATGCTTGCGGGATAGTATTTGGGGCAAATAGAAAAACACAATGCGAACCTCTCTTACGTCAGCTTGGAGCTTTAAATATTTATAAGCTTAATATTCATCAAGTAATGTTATTTATGTTTAAAGCCAAACTTGGGTTTTCTCCAGTAACATTTCAATCCTACTTTAATAAAATCTGCCATAAATATCCAACCAAAATTTCAGTGAATAACTTTGTGGTTCCCATAAACCTTCTTAAATTAAGTTCGTACCAAATTCAATGTCGGGGACCTTTAGTTTGGAAAAAATTTCTTCCTATCTTTAATAAAAAACAAAACTTCGTTTTAAACTGCACTTTGCAAAGTTTTAATGATGATTCAAAACGGCATTTACTGAACACGGAATTCGATATATTAGATTTCAAAAACCTTTTTTGAAAACAATTTAAAGGTTTAAACTAAACCACTTAAAAATAAATTAAATCTTTAAGCTTTTATTAAAATGGTTTCAAACCATTAGTATAAAAGATAACGAAAATAAAATTGTCTTTTTCGTTCATATTTTTGATGATATTAAATAATCAGGCCAAATACTTATGTTTACATATCGTGACGTTAGAATTATCTTGTTCTATCTCCACATTTTTTAATTTTAGGATAAAACGATTTAAAAAGCAAAAACTTTAGAAGACAGCACATAAATTATTTTTATAACATGTTTTTTCTGCAACTTTTTTTACTTACAACTTGGGTTTCAATTCAGTAGAAAGACATTATTTTTAGGAACACAACACTATTTTTTTGCTAACTTTTTTCACTAACTTTTTGCGCAATGTACGCAAGAGAGCAAGACGTGTTTTTTAAAGAGAAAAAATAACTGATAATAAATAAAGTATTTTTTTTATCATTATTTTTATATATAATATGGTTCTTTATTTATAAAACTTGAAATTGAAAAAGAATTTGTCAATAATATTGTTTTTATTCAATCGAGGAGATGTTTATCTATTTAAAGTGTGACATTTATACATTTGAAGAAATTTTTTTGAAAAATATTGAGGAAATTTGTTCTCATCCGAAAGACTTAGTTATCGCAAGCATGAACTCAATCTCAGAAAACTCAATTCAAAACCTTCGAGAACGACTATTTGCTAAAATCGTTGAGACATTTTGTGCAGATGAATTTAGTGAGGCGAACATAACTCTAGACCTTACAAATCCTGTTGAAAAGAATCTTCGTAAAAGATACAAAACAAGTTTATGTTTAGAAGATATTTAAATACTTTTAATCACTTTATGTGAAAAACAACTTCGTAAAGAAATTGTTAAGGTAATTATCTCAACAAAAAATGTGGACACTCTGCCTAACGATAAATTTTTAACTAAATCTGTAAAAGAGTTGTTACATATCTCAAAGGAAATTCAAAAAGAAAATAAAGAAATAAAAGAAGAACTCATACTTTTGAAAGAAAAAATAATTTTCCAAAATGAACTTATTGAAAAACTTAAGATAGAAAACAGACAATCGGAACTGGATATAAATCTCTTACAGCCGTGTCAAATACCGAAATTAAAGATCGATGGTTATACGCAATGTAAAAATAAAATTAACAACCCAGCTGCTACAAAAAATCTAACTCAAACAACGCATAAGTCTTTTTTAAACGTTGAATACAAACTGCAACTATTAAAAACATTCGCAAATGTAGTAGCTCAAACTCACTCAATCACAAATCAACCACAAATCGACGCCATGTTGACCACAAAAATAAATAAAAAAACCAATATCAATCAACAACTACACGCATCAAACACCAACAATGATAAAAATAATTTTACTTTAGTGTGCCGAAATAGTAAATCTAATCACAAAACACAAAATCGTTCATTCGTAAAAAAACATAGAATTTCAGAGCCCGTGTTGGAACATATTTCTGAAAATAAAACAATTGCAGGTGAAAGAATAGTTCGTAAATTTGACATTTTTGTCGGAGGGGTAAGCAATCAAATCAATGAAGAACTTTTTAAAAACTATCTAGAAACAGAAATAGGAATCTCCCCCTTATCTGTTATATTGAATAAAGAAAATGAAGAAAATAAAGAATACAATAGATCATACAAAGTTACCGTAAACAACACAGAAAAAATATAATATTTAACCCTGCTTTATGGGATAACAATATAATAGTTAAACCATACCGAAAAAAACGTTTATATACTAACATATCTCAAAATCTGGAAACTAACGGAAACCAGGGAATATTTTTGGATTTAGGGAATATTTTTAAGGAAGATAAACTTCCAACAACATTTAATCTATGTACTTTCAACTGCCACGGTCTAAAGTCTAATTTTGAGTATACCAAATCGTTGATTCTCTCTCATGACATAACTTTTATATGTGAACACTGGTTATCGAATTTAGAATATTTCATAATAAAAAAATATCTATAAAAATACCCACTCTTCATTCTTCCACCAGGCTAACAAACATGAGCAGGTCGACCGTTTGGCGGAAACGCTTTTTTTATTCGGAAACATTTGTTTCAAAACATTATTATTCTATATGAAGATGATCATATCTTCGCAATAAATCTTTGAAAAAATCAGACTTATATTATTATTATTGGCATTTATCTTTCATCGTTGCGCAATAATCAAACATCACTGGAGGGTTACACGAGTCAGTTGGATATAATTTCAGGTGTTATTAATAACTACGAGGGCGTTGCTGAATTTATTGTCCTTGGTGACTTTAAATCTTTTCCTCACGGAATATATGATTCATTAAAGAGAGCTAGCTCTACGAAAAATAACTACTCCGTAGTTTTATCAAATTTTATTAAGTCGAATAAACTTGAATTAGTGGACGTAACAAAAGGCTCTGGACCTAACATAACGTATCACCATAACAACATTACCAAACGCATCTTACATAGATCACATAGCTTTCTCAAAGTATGCGTCTCTTCTTTATTCCAATTGTTTCGTAATTCCTTTTTATCTCAAAACATGAGTGATCATTTACCAGTATCAATTGAGGTTGGAATTATTGGACAATCTTCTCAAGAAAACAATAATAAAAACTCAGACAAGTACAGCATTCCAAATTATGCCTAGAATAACAATGATTTTTTACAATTATATAACAACCGCTTAAATACTAATTTTAATTTTCACAATTTTACGAATCACAATTACGATGAGAAACTTATCAAAGTATATACTGTTATTACAAAGCCAGCATCTGAGGCACTTAATCAATATTTATCCATGAAAACACCTTCATTGTATTCAAAACCCTGGTGGACACCCGAATTAAGCCGTAGTAAAAATGTTTTTTCATTTTATTTTAAAAAATGGCTGGGAACTGGGTTCGTTAAAAACTTAAACTCGCAAATTTTTATTTAATACCGGATGGCACAAAAAAATTTCCGCAATGCTGTAAAAAATGCTAAAAATAAAAACCTGTACAAAGAATACATAAAAATCGAAACGTTAAAAAATACAAATCCAAAATATTTTTGAAAAACTTTCAGAAATATAAAAAAAGATGCAAATTCGAAATTGTATATCATAAATAATAAAAAAGATAAAGACTTGATCACGAAAGAATTTGCATACAGTTTTGAAAATCAATTAAACTCTAAAGCAATCACATATACCTCTACAAATTTAAAAATTCCACCTTGCACAAAATTCGACGAGGTAATAATATCGGATGAAAATATAAAAACGGTTATTTCTCGCCTTAAATTATACAAATCCAAAAACGCCTTCGGAATATCAGCTGAACATTTAAAGAATGCGAGCTGTGAAGCACTAACAGAAATGGCTCAGAAAATTTTTTAACTTTTCTAT